ATGTCAGATGGATCCTGGCTGAAAGCAGAGAATACCAGAAAGATGTTTACCTGTGTTTTATTGACTATGCAAAGGCATTCAACTATGTGGATCGTAACAAATTATGGGTAACATTGTGAAGAATGGGAGTTCCAGAACACTTAATTGTGCTCATGCAGAACCTGTACACAAACCAAAAGGCAGTCGTTAGAATAGAACAAGGGGATAGTGCGTGGTTTAAAGTCAGGAAAGGTGTGCGTCAGGGTTGTATCCTTTCACCATATTTATTCAATCTGTATACTGACTAAATAATCCAAGAAGCTAGACTATGTGCAGAAGAATGCAGCGTCAGGATTGGAGAAAGACCCATTAGCAACCTATGATATGTAGATAAAACAACCTTCTTTGCTGAAAGTGAAGAGGACTTGAAGCACTTACTGATGAAGATCAAAGACCACTGACTTCAGTATGGATTTCACCTCAACATAAAGAAAACAAAAATCCTCACAACTAGACCACGAAACATCATGATAAATGGAGAAATTGAAGTTGTCAAGGATTTCATTTTACTTGGATCCACAATCAACACCCATGGAAGCAGCAGTCAAGAAATCAATGTATTACATTGGGCAAATCTGCTGCAAAAGACCTCTTTAAAGTGTTAAAAAGCAAAGATGTCACTTTGCGGACTAAGGTGCGCCTGACTCAAGCCATGGTGTTTTCATTTGCTTCATAGGCATGCGAAAGCTGGACAATGAATAAGAAGACTGAAGAATTGATGCCTTTGAATTATGGAATATTGAATATTGAAGAATATTTAATGAACCATGGACTGCTAGAAGAATGAACAAATCTATCTTGGAAGAAGTACAGCCAGAATGCTCCTTAGACGCAAGGATGGTGAGACTTGCCTCACGTACTTTGAATGTGTTATCAGCAGGGACCAGGCCTTGGAGAAGGACATCATGCTTGGTAAAGTAGAGGGTCAGGGAAAAAGAGGAAGACACTCAAAAAGGTGGATTGACACAGTGGCTGCAGCTAGTGCCCTGAATTCAGACTTCTAGCCCTGGTGGCTCAGTGGCTAACGCGAAAGGTTGGCGGTTCAACCACCAGCAGCTCCAAGGGAGAAAGATATGGCAGTCTGCTTCCGTAGAGATTTACAGCCTTGGAAACCCTATGGGATCGCTGAGTCAGAATTGACTCGATGGCAGTGGGTCAACTGTGAGAAAATAAATTTCTGTTCTTTAAAGCTACCCACTTGTAGTATTTGTTACAGCAGCATTAGAAACTAAGACAGATCGGTTAATATATTCTATTAAATTACGACTGAAGCCATTCTTTTAGGTGATGCTACATCCCTCAGTTCAGATCCTTTATATTGTTATTGTTTTGTTCATATCAGACCTCAGGTGCATAGAAATGAGTTAACCATACTCTGTTTGAGGCTGTCTGTCATCATTGGTCTAAGCAATGCCCGTCATTGTTATTTGCTTTTCCCTTCATTCCTGTTCCCCATGCCTTTCCCTCCCCTCACCATATAGTTTGTTTGTATAGACATGTTTTTTATTTACATAAATGGTATTTGCTATCTTATGTTTAAAAAAAATTTTTTTTTTAAATTGTGCTTTAGATGAAGGTTTAGAGAGCAAATTAGTTTCTCATTAAGCAATTAATACACTTACTGTTTTGTGACATTGGTTGGTCGTTGTCCCTGGGGTGGTGTGCCCATTTAGTCTCATATACGTTTGAGCTACGTGTATTATTGTTTTATGGGCCTAATCTTTGGCTGAAGAGTGAACCTCAGGAGTGACTTCAGTACTGAGTTAAAAGGGTGTCTGGGGGCCATACTCTCAGAATTTCTCCAGTCTCTGTCACACCAGCAACTCTGGTCTTTTTTTATGAGTTTGAATTTTGTTCTACATTTTTCTCCAGCTCTGTCCAGATCCTCTATTGTGAATCCTCTCAGAGCAGTTGGTGCCTCTTGGTCTATTCTATGTACAGGTTCCACATGAGCACAATTAGGTGTTCTAGAATTCCCATTCTTTGCAATGTCATCCATATTTGTTATGATCCAGAATCAAATGCCTTTGCATAGTCAATAAACACAGGTAAACATCTTTCTGTTCTTCTGTTTTCAGCCAAGATCCATCTGACGTCAGCAATGATATCCCTTACTTCCATGTCCTATTCTGAATCTGGCTTGAATTTCTTGCAGTTCCCTGTTGATGTACTGCTGCAACCATTTTTGAATTATCCTCAGCAAAATTTTACTTGTGTGTGATATTAATGATACTGTTTGATAATTTCTGCATTCTGTTGGATCACCTTTCTATTATTAAATAGGCTGTAATCCATTACTGACACTACTTATGTTGATACTCAAATTGTTCCAGATTTGGCCAGGGGGAGCCCCTTCAAGCTGGTTCCTGTCCTTCTGTAATGTCCTCATTATATTTTGAGCACTTCCTCACTTTTAGGCACAAGATGTTCCAGGCTCATCTTATACTTTCTCTGTCCCAGCCCTGGAATCAGGAATCAGCCATTAAGCCAGGGAGTAGAACACATTTTAAATACTTGAAATTTTCTTTTTTGAGAGGCATGTTTTTAAAGAATTTTTGTTTATCATGCAATTCCATACATGCTGTTTTTAATACTATGTTATATCTACTTTAGTGCCAATGATTTTCTAGAGCCCTTTTAAACATTTTCCCACAACCTAGTACCAGGAGACTGTGATCTTGTGAGCAAGATTTTGCCACCACATTAGCTTTTAAGAACAAAAACTAACGAAGTTCACAAGGGGTGAGTGTATTTAACTTTTTTTAAAAAATGAAGTTTTAAAAAACACATGTAAAATAAAAAGCACATCAGTAATTTTTGTATCTATGTAAATCCTTTATTCTGTTTCCAGATAGAATATTAAAATTTACATGTTATTTTTAAGACAACTAATACACATTTCAGGTTACTGAAATAAAATATACATTTGTAAGAGATATAAGAGACAGATTAGAAAATCTGAAATGAGTTTTTAACTTAATTTGCAAGATTAGGAACATTGGGACTTCCAGAATTGATACTGGCCTTATGTACCAAGTACTTCTTTTCTGTATTTGTTTACCCCTCCAGAGACCATATCATGCTATTTTAAGAAATCAATGAATAATTAGGTTTTCTAGCTTATTAAAATACAAAACATTACTTCAATCTTAGACCCTCTGACAGAATCTAATGTCTGTTTTCGTAAAAGAATACTTGTTCTTTTCAATAAGTTCTGTAATAAAACCTTATTAATATCAAGAAATTATTGATTCAGAAAGCAAGTACAAGGCATCTTTATATTACAAGGAAAATCAATGAAGACTGAAGATAAACACTTAGCACTTAAAAAAAAAAAAAAATCCAAATTCTAACATTTGGAGTAATAGAATTCCCAACTTAAATCTTTTTTAAAAATGACTTTTTCCAGCTTGTTTCCAGACTTCTTTTACTCCTTTAATGCTTTCTTTTTTCACACACTTCCAGTATTCTTGTACACTTAGTTGTTGTGGTACCTGTTAGCCAAAAGTAAAAGTTAAGAGGTCATTCTCTTCACGATTAAACATCATTTAATGTGTACTTTATGTTATTGTTTACTTCCCCCACTCCTCCAAAAAGTGTCTGAGGTAGAGTATGGTAGAAGATGACCTCAACAGACTGTTAAAATAAAGACAGAAGAAAAAAAGTGAGTGTGAGGTAAGAATGTCCTTAGGAAAACTAAGGAATGGGGCTGACCACGTATAAATTAGTGGCGTTCCTTCCCTAAGAAGATAATGAAAACTTTGGGCAATCTTCTTTCATATAATGGTTTTAAAATGTAATTATTTTATAATGTTTTCCTTTTCTGGTGACCTTTATTTAGCTATGTGGAATAATAGTTATAACCCTAAAACTTCAATTTAACCTTGGTTAAAATTAAAAAGAAACTATAGGTCACAAAATATTTGACAAGAAGCCTCATAAAGAATTTAATTCACATAAGTTTTTTGTGAATTAAAAGTTTTGTGTGGTTATTACCCTTCTCAACGAAGTGAAAAAGTAGAAGGTTAAACTACAGGAGCAGAGCCAAATGGAAACAAAGGTCTTTCTTAGATTATACATGCTCTTTTTCCTATCACTGATTTATAGCTCTTCTCTTTAATGTTTATTGACAAAGGGCAGAGAGGCTTCCAGGTATATTAAAATGTAAACTGCAAAGTTTGGTCTAATTTCTAGGAATATGACCAGTAACCATCTGGTGCTAGATGACCACAGAGCTTGTAAAACATGTTTGCTAATGGAAAACATAATTCATTTTGCTTGAAATTATATTTGCAGCAGGAAATTGAATTTATTCTAAGTCGTAAATAAATAGCCCTGTCTTCATGAACCCACCATCATCTATCTCTGTCTCATTCATTCCCTCTCTCCTTTCCTCTCCCTTATCTCCAGCCTAACTACCTACCTACATGTAGATTCTCTTTGGATCTAGTTTTCCCCTGCAGGCTGCTTTTACTAGAGTGCTTCCAGTAAATTCTAATCTCAACAAAATTCTGAGTTTGATCTCTACCACAGTTGCAGATCAACATGTGAATTTGAGTGAATAATGATAATAGCTAACATTTACTTAGTGTCCAATGTGTCTCACCCACAATACTAAGTAATTTAAATTTAAATCTCACAATTCTTTTTGGTAGATTCTACTAGTTCCCTCATTTTATGGATGAGGAATCTGAGGCTCAGAAAATTAAATAGCTTTGCATGATTCAGCAGTTAATAAGTGGTAGAGCTAGGATATGAAGCTAGGTCTTTCTGACTCCAGAGCCCAAAGTCAAATTCTAGGCTGTGATTTCTGAATAGGTGATTTCAGATTAGTTTCAGATTAAAAATGACCCCATGTGCTTCAGAGTAGAACTGTGCTCCACAGGGTTTTCTTGGTTGTAATCTTACAGAAGCAGACAGCCAGGCCTGTCTTCCACGGTGCCACTGGGTGGATCTGAATGACCAATTTTTTTGGTTAGTAGCTGAAAGCAAACCATTTATGCCATCCAGGGACCTATGCATTTGCCCAGATGCTAGGTTTAATACTACTCATTTAAAAACAAAAAAAACCCAAACCCATTGCCGTTGATTCTGACTCATGGCGACCTCATGTGTAACACAGTAGAACCACTTCATAGGGTTTTCTTAGCTATAATCTTATGGAAGCAGATCACCAGGACTTTCTTCCATGGTACCTGTAAGTTAGTAGCTGAGTGCAAACTGTTTGTGCCACTCAGGGACCTTTTAATTACACATAAACATGTAGTTATTTAAAATGTGTTACCCATAAACCTCGATGCATCCTGTTTTTTAACACCCCAAGAAACTCTCCATGACTAAGACATTCATCACCATCCACATCAAAGATCTTGAAGACACTGTCCAAGATATTGTCAGAGAGCTCCTGTCCTGTTGCTACTTTCACAGCCCTCCTAAACTCCGCTAAAAAAGAAAACACAAAACAACTCATCAACCATGTGAGCTAGTCCAAGTAGAATTAATCTAAATTTTCATCATTTAGGAAGTAAAAACTAACCTAAATTGTTAGCATTTGGGAAGTAAATTGAAAAAAATATACCCATCAAGAACATATCCGAATTATAAATTTGTTTGAAAAATGTCATGAGAGTAACTGTAAGATAAGCAAATTATTTTAATTTAATCAGTGTTTTAAACATAAATATTTAAATACATTCTCCTTTTTAGGAGAAAAATGAGAAAGTAAAAACATCTGAAGAAACTGTTAAATGGGAATGCTAGTGTTATAAATCCAGAAGAACCACATTGAATTAAAAGGCCAATCAATTATTTTCCTGATGACTGGCTCTTTGAGTAGTATCACCAAATTGAAGGATAGAGTGAAACTATCATAAAAGATAAAACTTAAATGATTTGTATAACTTACCCAGTCTGACAGGGCGATGAGCTAAACTAAACATTTGCATGGCAATAGCAAAGTCTTCCAAGTGGGTCGTAAAATGGCAAAATGATTTGAACTCATCTAAACTAATGCTCTAAAATAAAATGACAAAAGTGAATTTTTATTACAATTTTGTAAAGAGAATAAATAACCTTATGAATTTAAGTGTGAGTCGATCTTTCTGAGCAAGTCTATTAAAAACTTCAAGACAGAATAGTAATGGAATTAGAGATTAGGAGGAACCACAGGAGAGTGACTGGCAGGGACACTAAGTATGGCCAGGCAGTCTGTACCCAGTGTGACTGGTGTCTCCTGGAGTCCTGCAGTATAAAAGGTGGGGTAGCCCCATTAGTGGTCCACCTCCTTGTCTTCTACTTAATCTTATTAGTGGACATAGCACCCAGTAAAAGCACCGGGTATTGGAGTTAGATGGACCTATGTTGAAATCCCAGTTCTGCTATTTACTATGCATATGATCTTGGGCAAGATCAGTCTCTCCAAGCCTTAGGTAAGTAACCCTAAGGGGATAAGTAACTTCCCCAAGGTCTACTAAGTGCAACAATAAGAATTTGAATCTTGGTCTATCTGACTTCAAAACATATGTGCTTAAAAACAAAAACAAACAAAACCTAGTTTTTTCATTGAGAGACTAAAAAAAGTGTGAAATCCCTAATCTGAAAGTAAACTCCTCCTTGTGTGAACAAAACTTCTCTTTGTAGAGACCTTTGGGATCATGACCTCTGCGTATGTGTGGTCTCATTCAAGTTTTACTGTGTTCAGTTTTTATGAATGTATGGAATTTTTTATTTAAAAAAATTTTTAAGTTTTGAAGAGGTAATATATGCACATGGTAAAAAACTCAAACAATACAAAGGATAAACAAGGAAAAGTAAGTCTTCCTCACCTCACTCTTCAGACCCCAGTTCCCTTTCCCAGAGGTAAGCACTATTACCAAGTGCTTAAGTATCCTTCCAGAAATATCCTACTCATACAAAAGCACACATACATGCATATATATATATCCTTGTTCTACACAGTGGGAGCATCACCTTCTTCAGACATTGCTTTATTCTGTTAACTGTATATCTTATCAGTACAAGTAAGAGAGTGCCTGATTTTCTCTATTATTATCTCAAAAAGGCACTGGGGCAGCCTTCTTAATTTTTGCTTTTCTGACTGGTGAGAAAAGTAGTCTCTCATTAGTGTTTAAATTTGTGTGTCTTTGTGAATTAAGTTAAATACTTTTCACATGTTTGTCAATTGTGGCTTTCTCTTCTTGTGTTCTCTTCACATCCTTTGCCCAGATTTCTAATAGGTTGTTAGGATCTTTTTATTGCTGGAAGACAATTCTCCATGGATCTCTTGCATTTCTACACATCTTGTAAACAGAGGCACTAACTGCTTTTTTGTTCCAGACTATCTTTTCCAGGATGTTTGTATAGTGAACAACCTTGACTATAGATAGTGTCTCCCTCTAGAACAGAAGAGGACAGCTTTGCTTACTGTCCAGTGTGGCAATAATGCCTCTCCCTGCAGCAAAGTCAGGAAGGTTTGCTTACTGCCCATTAGAAAAGATTCGTGTTCCCTAAGATCAGGTCTCCTCAGCTGGGATACAAATCCACTGGGCGTGCAGCATTCTCCTGGGATCATCAGCAACATCCCCACGGTACATGGGAAGCAAAGGAGAATGGAAACAAACATGATGCTCATGCTGTTGCTAAGCTATGTACAATAAAGTTTTTTGTTTTTGAACCAATAGTCTTGTATCTTCTGTCAGCATTCATGAAACTCTGGCAGGCTAACTTGTAAGTAGAGTCAAATCTCAGACACTACAGTTATTAACACTTACAGATTCTATTATGTATTAAATAGGGCAAGATGTTAGACACTTTGTTTTTTGTACTTACTGATTTTTAAATAACTCATTATAAATTAAGGAAATTGTTCTATTACATGTGATGCCAATATTTCCCGCCCTAGTTTGTTAATTTTTTTCCTTTGAATTTGATTATAATTTGTTTGAGGGTGGGGGAGGCAACAGAATTTTAAAATTTAGATAGTAAATTTTATGAATTTTTCCTCAAAAGCTTCTGGGTTTTGCTTAGAAAGATATATACCTACTCCACTTTAAGATGATAAACGGTTTCCATATTTTCTAGTTTTATTTTTCTTATTAACATTTAAATCTTTGATCCACCTGGAATTTATTTGAGAGTAATGAGCGAGGTAGGAATTTGCCTTCATTTACGTCCTCAAATGACCAACCAATTATATTAATGCCATTTATTCACAATTCTTTTACCCAACTAATTTGAAATATGACTCCATATACTAAATTCCCATGTATATTTGTGTTTTTTTCTGGGCTCTATTCTGCTCAATTAATCTGTCAAATTCACTGTTAGTAACAAACTCTTAACTACCAAGGTTTGAAAATATTTTAATATCAGGGCATTCTTTGCATAAAGATTTTGTATGGTTTTTCTAGCTCCCTTCTCAAGAATCCAGTGGTGTTTTTATTGAAGTCTATTACTGTTCACCAGTATCTGGTTCTCTTCTGATCCCTGCACATATGAAAGACTACACTTCTTAGTTTCCTTGCAGTTAAGTGGGGTTATGTGACTAGTCTGGCCAATGGCCAAGTGTCACGTGATATTTCCAGGCCAAAACATTTAATTGTTGGAATACGACTTGCGCATTTCTTTTCCTGCCACAGCAACTGAGGATGGTGCTTCTGCCAGATGGTGAAGTTACAAGATGGCAGAGCCTCAGAGAGTCTCACAGAGCCTCCTACTAGCCCACAGTGGACACATAACACGATTAAGAAATAAATCTTTGTTGTGTTAAGTCATGAGGATTTCAGAGTTAATATATAACTGCAGTAAACCTAGACTGTTCTGACTACTATAACCATTACATTTATTGACTAATTTAAAGAAGAAATGCTATACTTATAAAAAAATATAAACATATAAACATATATTTATAATACTAATACTTCCTATCCATGTGTCTTCCAATGTGTCTATAATTAGATAAGTTTTTTTATATTCATCAGAATTTTAAAGTTTTTATATATTTCTTCTTATATTTATTTTTTCTCTTCCTTCTTAAATTTCTAATTGTTATATATTTCTATTGCAATTATAAATGAGATCTTCCCTGATGTTTTACTATCTTTTTCCTCACAATGGAAATAGCTTTTTAAAAAGAATGATATAAATAATACATGCCCATTGCAAAAAAATTTTTTGGAGCAATACATAAAGGTATAAGGAAAGTGAAAATCACTTCAAATATCACCACTGTACATTAATCATTATTAATATTTTGGTGGTCATTCTTTTATCTCACACACACACGCGCATGCATGTGCCATTACTTTTTTAACTTGAAATTCGCACATAGGACAGTTATTCTTCCTTTCAAATTTTCATAATCTTTTATCTTATTTGGAGCCCTGGTGGCGTAGTGGTTAAGAGCTTGGGTGCTAACCAAAAGGTTGGCAGTTTGAATCCACTAGGTGCTTCTTGGAAACCGTATGGGGCAGTTCTACTCTGTCCTACATGGTCACTATGAGTCGGAATCAACTCAACGGCTATGGGTTTATCTTACTAACCTGCATTGGCTAAGATTTCCAGAACAGTATTAAACAATAGTGGTGATAGTGGACATTCTTATCTTACTTCTGACTCTACTGGAATTGCAAAGAGTGGTTGCTATACTGATTCTATCTTAGGCAATAGTTCATTTGTAGGAAAACAGTATGTGGAGAATGCTCCTCAACTTGATTTTATACTTAAATAACGAATACAGACTAGCATACCAAAAAAAACCAGGTAGCACAGTCTTTGTTAATTTGCAAGTTACTTTAATTATATAAATGTGTCTAGCTTATCATTATCATATGCATAATAAAAGGGTATACTAACCTCTCCTGCTGATAACTTCTCTCTCACATTTTTCCAATAAATGTCTTTATTTCCAGTGTTAGTGAAAAAAAGGAGCCATTCTGCAAAGTCTTCTTTTCTCATGAAGCTTAAACCTCTAGAAAATTGAAGGAATTCCATTTCTTGGACTTCTGTTTGTAGATTTTCCATAAATCTAAATGTCAAAATACAAAATTGATATACGTGACATAATGGCATTTAACCTTAATACTGTAAATCCATTAGAATATTTATAATTATTTTATAATTTGATTTTACTTTCATTATTCATTTAAGAAAATTATACCACTAAGGTGCTCTCTAAGTCTATGCATCCCGTCTATAGTTAATAGTAACACTGCAGCTTACAAAAAAGAAAATCAGTAGTGATGCAGTGCTGTCCTGGTATGTATTAACTCTACCAAAAGAAAGCAGTAGCAAGCAGAGCAGAATATAAACTCTAAAAAATATGTCAGAGTTGCTGCTTTTAATGTTGCCTCCAACATGAATATGACAACAAACCCACCTATTTGGAATTATCAGCCCTTTTCTTTCCAAGAGGACGCTTTGCTCTGTGACTTTATTATAAACTACTTGCAGGGCCCAAGATTTTCTTTTTCTTAACATCACATCCTGTCTGATGATATTGCTCAAACTGACGTAGCTCATAAAATCAAGCTCTTTTGGCATTTATTTCCCATCATACAGAGCTATGTCGCCCTGTCTCAAATTACATTCTGGTTCATCCTGAGAACATTTTTTTTTCTTTCACGATCTACTCTGGTCCCTCCTGTAGAAGCAACTCGAATAAGCTGCATTGTTAATTCTCTGATCCAGATTAGAAGAGTTTTAGGAAATCAAGAATTAATTCAGTGTTAGCAGGCTGGGCTATCTTAAAGTCTATTGTGTTGGTGATCCTGTATTGCCTGTAAATTAGGCTAATAAAACTGCCTAGGAAATTAGATAGGCTTATTCTATACAATCAGTTCAGGTTCTTCATTTATACTGTGGTGAAAACATACACACCAAAACATCTGCCAACACAATAAATACCACATGTACAACTAAATGACATTGATATTTTTCATGTTGTGCAACCATTATCACTATCCTCATCTGAAACATTCCACCGCCACTAACATAAACTCAGTGTCCCCCAAACAAAAACTCCCCCATTCTCCCTCCTTCCCACCCTTGGTAACCATTGTAATCTTTGGTTTCTATGTATTTGCTTATTTCATATAAGTGGTATCATACAGTATCTGTCCTTTTGCAACTGACTTGTTTTGCTCAGCATGATATTTTCAAGGTTCATCCATGTTGTGGCATGTATCAGAACCTCATTTCTCTTTATGGCTGAGTATATTTCATTGTGTGCATACACCACATTTTGTATATCTATTCATCTGTTGATGTACATTTGCGTCATTTCCACCTTTTGGCTACTGTGAAAAGTGTTGTGATGACCATTGGTGTACAGGGTTCTGTTTGGGTTCCTGCCTTCACTTCTTCTGGGTAAGTCCTTTGGAAGACAGAACATTGCTATTACTTTGTAGAACTCTGGCTTGCTCTGAAGCCAAGTAATATGTTAGACATAATCTCTGGATGTCACAAAATATTTGAAAGATTTTTAATGTGCTAATTATGTCATCTAGGCAATCTTTTCTAGAGATTTGAATTTATAATCAGTACTAAAAAGGGAAACTGAATTTCTGAGGAAAGTGGTACACGGGAGTGAACTGAAAATGGATAATGAGGACTTCTTTGGAAAGCTAATTTTGTAGTACTAGTATGGCTACTTGTAAAAGAAGTAAAAGAGCTGAACAGAAAATTTCAAAGAGCAGCTTGAGAAGACAAAGTATTATAATGAAATGTGCAAGACCTGGAGATAGAAAACCAAAAGGGAAGAACACGTTTGGCATTTCTCAAGCTGAAAGAACTGAAGGAAAAAATTCAAGCCTTGAGTTGCAATATAGAAGGATTCTACAGGGAAAATATTGAACGATGCAGGAAGCATCAAAAGAAGAAGGAAGGAATACACAAAGTCACTGCACCAAAAAGAATAAGTTGATGTTCAACCATTTCAGGAGGTAGCATACGATCAAGAACCGATGGTACTGAAGGAAGAGGTCCAAACTGCACTGAAGGCATTGGCAAAAAACAAGGCTCCAGGAATTGATGGAACACCAATTGAGATGTTTCAACAAACGGATGCAACGCTGGAAGCACTCATTCATCTACACCAAGAAATCTGGAAGACAGCTACCTGGCCAACCGACTGGAAGAGATCCATGTTTGTATCCATTCCAAAGAAAGGTGCTCCAACCAAATGTGGAAATTATCAAACAATATCATTAATATCACACACAAGTAAAATTTTGCTGAAGATCATTCAAAAGCGGTTGTAGCAATATACTGACAGGGAACTACCACAAATTCAAGCTAGATTCAGAAAAGGACGTGGAACAAGGGATATCCATGCTGATGTCTGATGGATCCTGGCTGAAAGCAGAAAATACCAGAAAGATGTTTACCTATGTTTTATTGACTATGCAAAGGCATTTGACTGTGTGGATCATAACAAATTATCGATAACATTGAGAAGAAGGGGAATTCCAGAACACTTAATTGTGCTAATGCAGAACCTATACATACCAAGAGGCAGTCATTTGAACTGAACAAGGGGATACTGTGTGGTTTAGTCAAGAAAGGTGTGCATCAGGGTTGTAACCTTTCACCATACTTATTCAGTCTATATGCTGAGCAAATAATCTGAGAAGCTGGGCTATATGAAGAAGAATGTGGCATCAGGATTGGAGGCAGGCTCATTAACAGGCTGCGATATGCTTGGTGAAAGTGAAGAGGACTTGAAGCACTTACTGATGAAGATCAAAGACCACAGCCTTCAGTATGGATTACACCTCAACATAAAGAAAACAAAAATTCTCACAACTGGACCAATAAGCAATGTCATGATAAACGGAGAAAAGACTGAAGTTGTCAAGGATGTCATTTTACTTGGATCCACAATCAACACCCATGGAAGCAGCAGTGAAGAAATCAAACACCGCATTACATTGGGAAAATCTGCGGCAAGAGACCTCCTTAAGGTGTTAAAAAAGCAAAGATGTCACTTTAAGGACTAAGGTGTGCCTGACCCAAGCCATGGTGTTTTCAATCTCCTCAAGTGCATGTAAAGGCTGGACAATGGGCTCAAGCATAACAACGATTGTGAGGATGACATGGGACTGGGTAGTGTTTTGTTCTGTTGTACATAGGGTAGCTATTAGTTGGAACTTACTCAACGGCTCCTAACAGCAGTATGGCTATTTAATTCAACATAGAATAATACTGATCACTAAGAAATACATGCAACTAAAGAACTAAAAGGGCTTAATTATAAATAAAAACCCCATATCAAGGAGGAGCCAAAGAAGAGCCTTTATATGCCCATATTTATCACAATTTTCCCCTTAATGTAATAAAAATTAGATTATACAACACTAAAAAAGATAGGAAGACATATTAAAATGCTCTACAGTCTAGCCTTTATTATAAACAATCTACCTCATTAAAGAATTTATTTATACACCAAAGAAAAATGTGACTAAAGAAAAAAATGAATTTCAAAATACGAACTAGATGATATTTAATTAGATGGAGAACAAGTCTCTAGAAATACCAGACTGACCTAGTATTACAATGACATTTTCTTAAAGATGCACAATTTCCCGAAACTGTTGATCTTCCCTTAATTATCTATCTATTCTATTTATTCAGGGTCCTGTATAATACAATATAAACTGGAAAGGAAAATATTTTGTGTGCTAAAGAAAATCTATGCTTACCTTCAGACTGATTTCCATCCCTTATCTCACCAATGTACAGCAGTTACCCCTTATTTGAGGTTTTGCTTTCCAGTTTCAGTTATCTGCTGTCAACCACCGTCCACAGTGCTTGTGTTCAAGCAACCCTTACTTTACTTAATAATGGCCCCAAAGCACAAGAGTAGTGATGCTGGCAATTCAGATATGCCAAAGAGAAGCTGTAAAGTGCTTCTATTTTATTATTAGCTATTTTTGTTAATTTCTTACTGTTCCTAATTTATAAATTAAATTTTATCATAGATATGTATATATGTATAGCACAGTATAGTGAGCTGGAACTGACTCGATGGCAACAGGTTTGTTTTGTTTTTTCTGTAGGGTTCGGTACTATCACGATTTCAGGCAGCCACTGGGGGTCTTGGAACATATCCCCTGCAGATAAGAGGAGACTATTGTATTTTTTAACTTTGGCCAAAAATCACTAGGATTTCACTGTAGATATTTATGACCCTAAATTTGTATTTCTAGGAAAACAGCATTACAGTACAACACAATACAACATAACATCGAGTTAAATATCAGTCCTCCAACTGCAACTACTGTATGTTTGTAATTTTTTCTTAGTTGTTCAAAATGAATCATGGTTTTTCTAATGTTATCTTCTGAAAACTGAGTTGCTTAAATCCTACACATTCCAAACAAAGGACTAAGGTGCACCTGACCCAAGCCATGGTATTTTCAGTTGCATCACATGCATGCAAAAGCTGGACAATGGATAAGGAAGACCGAAGAAGAACTGACACCTTTTAATTATGGTGTTGGCAAAGAATATTGAACGTACATTGTATTTAAATGCTTTTTTGCATGTTTCCCTCACCAACAAGACAGTCCCCATGAGGGACTATCTCTAGTGTTTGAGACAGGGTCTGGCACACAGCAGCACACAGTAAGCACTCAAAAATTCTTTATTAAACTGTACTGAGCGGAACAGGATGCAGGTCTCCTGTCTTCCAAATCAGTGTTTTTGCCATCATTCTGTACTGCTTTCTAATTTGTTTTCTTTAAAAAGACTTTGGTTAGTGTAGAGGCACAGGGAGGAAGATCAATTTGTTTTGCATAGAGTTATTCTTATTGGGAAGGTGCCCTGGTGGCACAGTGGTTAAGTGCTTGGCTGCTAACTGAAAGGTCGGTGGTTTGAACCTACCAGGGGCTCTGAGGGAGAAAAGATCTGGTGATCTGCTCCTGTAAAGTTTATAGCCTGGGAAACCCTATAGGGCAGTTCTACTCTGTCATATAAAGGTTGTTATGAGTAGGAATCGACTTGATGGCACACAACAACAACATGCTTATTGGAGAGTCTCTGGATGGTAAAAATGGTTAACGTGCTGAAATGGCTGCTAACTGAAAGGTTGGAAGTTTGAGTCTACCCAGAGGTACCTTGGAAGAAAGGCCTGGTGATCAACTTCTGAAAAATCAGCCATTGAAAACCGTATGGAGCACAGTTCTACTGTGACACACGTTGGGTCACCAAGAGTCACAACTGATTCAACAGCAACTGGTTTATTCTTATTGGAAAAAAGGTAAGCAGGACATTACATTTTAATGTTTATAATAATCATATAAGTATTATTATTATTTCCATTTTACAGATGAAGAAATGAACTCAGGAGGTTAAATAAGTTGTACAAAGTTACCATTAGTGACTGGTGGGACAGGATTTGTACTCTACTCTTTCTGGCTCTAGTGCCCATTTCTTTCCATAGTGTCATGCAGGAAATTGCTTTAGCTGGGAGCTCTGCTAATTCTGGCTTCCTCTTAAGTACTGATATTATCTACTTAAATATACACACACATAAAAAATATGAGTGTGGTAGAGTGATTGCATTCATGGCCTCAATAAATGGCCTTTCTATATCCATGCCTTCTGCCCTCTAACTCTGGAGTTCCCTCCCACTCTGACTTGCAGCTGGGCCATGTGACTTGCTCTGGCCAATGGAACAGTAGCAAACTTGCCGCAGGCAGAGGTTTAAAAAGCAAATGTATGTATTTCTACTTTCTTCGTTAGAACCCTGACAGAGAAAAGTCTGGGTTTGCCTGCTACAGCAGAGGTCAGCAAACTATGGCTCACAGAAGAAATCCTGCCTATTGCCTGTTTTGTAAAGTTTTACTGGAATATGGACATCCCATTTGTTAACATACTGTTTATGGCTGCTTTCACGCTAACGTGGTAGAACTGAGTAGTTGTGACAGACTGTCTTTAGTATCTGCCCCTTTACAGAAGTCTGCCAACCACTGTGCTAGCAGATCAGAGACCACATGGAGCAGAGCTGAGTTGTCCCAAGTGAGGCCATCTTAGGACAGTCAGCTGCCAGTCAACCCATCGGCTGACTGCAGATACATGAATGAATCCCGTCAAGATCAGTCAGTCTTGGCTCAGATCAGCAGAACTGCCCAATGACCCAAAGACTCATGGAAATAATAAATGGTCACTGTTTAGTTAAGACCAGTTAAGTTGGGCTGGTTTGTTCTGCATTAAGAACTGATACAAGAACATTTCCCTATTAGCTGCTAGTATTAAATTGCTAAAGAGAATTATTATAGTCTATAAAAGATATTACTTTTCATAACAGGTTAGATATATTTTGAACACAGTAACTATTGTGATTGAATTTTGTCCTCCAAAATATGTAGTATAGTCCTGACCCCTGTGCATGTGACCCTGTTTGGAAAGAGGGTTTTTCTTTTGTTATATTAATGAGGCCATACCAGAGTAGGGTGAGTTCTAAACCTAATCATTTCTGAGTTATAAAAAGAGCTTAACAGACACAGATACACACATGGGGAAAACAGTTGCCAAGGTACACCAAGGTACTCTCAGGGCTACCAGCAAAAAAGGCCCTCCTCTACAGCCAATGCCCTGATTTGGACTTCTAACCTCCAAAACTGTGAGACAATAAATTCCTGTTTTTTAAGCCACCCACTTGTGGTATTTTTGTTATGGCAGCACTAGGTAATTAAGATAGTGACTTTATATTTATAGGTTTAGTTTTCAGAGACAAATACTATATAGACCCACAAACAGTAGTTATATGGTCTGTAGTTCTGGGAAATGAATATATTCAGTTGCTTTTTCACTTCTTACCTATAATATTTCCCTAAATGAATATAAATATTGCATTTACCTCCGAAACTCTTTATAATGAAGTTTTTTTTCTCCTCTTTTTCCAAAGAAACGTATCTGAAGAGTTGTGTTAACTTCAGGTTCTTTCAATTTTCGTTCCTATAAAAAATTATATGATAATTTCAAATTATTATAAACAAACAAAAATGGATCCTGTAGACTGGAACTTTCAGGACAATATCCACATATGATTCTTGTAGCATACAAAAAAGAAAAGGTGGAAAAGAAGAGTTGAGTTACTCTTCTTCTCGGTTACTTTGAATAATCACCTTTGCTTATGCCAGAGAAAAATAATGAGGGCTAAAATACTCAAAGCAGAATTTAGCAGTAAACAACATCTTAGATCAAGCCAAAAAGATAGCTTAGAATAGTTAAAAAAAAAAAATATCAAAATGTGACCCTAGGCATTTTCTAATGAAGCAACACTCAGAGAATTAAAGCAGGAAAATCTTTGAGATTTTGCTAAATGTTAGAAGTACTTAAAAAACATTCGTTTTCCTAGTTATAAAATTAGATGAGAATTTCATTAAAAGGTAATGGAGTTACAGACTCACAGATTCTTCCACCTTCCATTCTTTAATAAAACAAACAACAGAAAGAATGGCAAAACAAAACTGCCAAAAAATTATCGGCAGCAACCAGACATTGAAAGGGGGAACAACCTTAACCCAAATGTTCTGAAAAATAGCAGTCAGAGAAAGAAAAAGTACATTCAGGTGTTAGCCTGGCACGTCTCTTAATCCTGCCCCCAACCCTACTTCTCAGAAATCGCGGTACGAGATGAGATTATTACATTATGAGAACTTCATTAAAACTTTCAATTTGGCAATCTGTAGATTAATGGGGTGAGAAGGCAGCCCTGGGTCAACTCGTGGAAAAACCCCAATAGAAGCTCGTACATAGCTTGGTGGGACTTTAGTACTTCCAGAGCTTAGAATGTTCCAGGACTCTATGTTAAATTGAGTATTAATCAGATGCCCACAGAATGGGATACACATTTGGAGTGATGAAAGTGGGCTGTGGTCTAGGACTTGTAATGGGATCAAAGAAGAGAGAACAGAACCTGATCCTCCAGCAGGACTGCATTCATTCAGCCCATGGAACTCCCTTTCTTGTCTCCACCCCTTCAGTCTCCAGAAAAGTGGGTCAAAATGCAATATTCAGGTATCAGGAGAATTTCATTTGTGCTCTATCAGAGCAAAGAGAAGGTTTAGACAGAACATGAGCATGATGAAGGCACGGAAAAGAAATCGCATGACTACTAAGCAAAGGCAGTATAGTAAGAAAGAGAAAAGGAACAAATTAGGCAAAAGACACACAAAAAACCCAGTCTAGACATACAGAATTTCATCCTATCCCCTACCCCTTCCTTAACCTCTGGAAACCATTAATCAGGTCTCTATTTCTGTAATTTTGTCATTTGAAAAATATTATATATAGTGATGATGGTAGCACCATATGGTGAAAGTAATTAATGTCACTGAATTATTGTACACTTAAAAATGGTTAAATAACAATTTTTTTTGTTTTATATACCTACAAAATAAAAAAAAAAGGTTATATAAATGAAACCATACAGCATGTAACCTTTTGGTACTAGCATTTTTTTCTCAGCTTAATTCTCAGGAGATTCATCTAGGTGGTTGTGTTTATCAGTATTTTGTTCCTTTTTTTTATTGCTGAGTAGTATTCCCCATGATATGGATGCACCACTGTTTAACCAATTCACCTATTGCAGGAGATGTGAGTTGTTTACAGTTCTTGGCTATTACAAATAAAGATGCTATAAACATTCATGTGTAAGTTTTTGTGTGACCACAGGTTTTCATTTATCTCGGACAGATGCACAGGAGTGCCATTGCTGGGTTTTAAGTTAGTTGCATTTTTAGTTTTTGCAGGAACTGCCAAACTATTTTCCAGAGTGGTTGTACCATTTTATATTCCCACCAGCGAGGTGCGAGTGTTCCAGTTTCTCCATATCCTTGGGAGCATTTAGCACTGCCACTACTTTTTATTTTAGCCATTCGGATAGATGTGTAGTGATAATCGCACTGTAGTTTTAATTTGCATTTCCCTGATGGCTAATGATGTTGAACATCTTTTCATGTGCTTATTTGCCATCTACATATCCTCTTCAGTGAAATGTCTCTTCATGTCTTTTGCCATTTTCTAATTGGATTTTTTTTTTTTTTTTTTACTGTTGAGTTTTGAGAATTTTATTTTATATATTTTAGATACTAGTCCTTTGTTGGATGTTTGATTTGCAAGCATTTTCTCCTAGTCTGTAGTTTGTCTTTCCATCATTTTATCAGGATCTTTTGCAGAGCAAAATTTGTTAATTTTGATGAATCTAATTTATCTATTTTTCCTTTATGGGTCATGCTTTTGGTGTCAAGCCTAAGAACTTTTTCTTTAGCCCTTGTCATGGACTGAATTGTGTCCTCCAAAAATATGTGTATTAATTTGGCTAGGCCATGATTCCCAGTATTGTGTGATTTTCACCATTTCATCATCCGATGTAATTTTCCTATGTGTTGTAAATCCTACCTCTATGATGTTAATGAGATGAGATTAGTGGCAGATATGTTAATGAGGCAGGACTCAATCTACAAGATTAGATTGTGTCTTAAGCCAGTCTCTTTGAGATATGAAAGAGAGAAGTGAGCAGAGAAACATGGGGACCTCATACCATCAAGAAATAAAAGGCAGGAGAATAAGCACGTCCTTTGGACCTGAGGTCCCTGTGCTGAGAAGCTCCTTGACCAGGGAAGATTGATGACAAGGACCTTATCCTAAAGCCAACAGAGAAAGAAAGCCTTCCCCTGGAGGTGGCACCTTGAATTCAGACTTCTAGCCTCTCAGACTGTGAGAGAATAAATTTCTCTTTGTTAAAGCCATCCACTTGTGGTACTTCTGTTCCAGCAGCACTAGATAACTAAGACAGCCCTAGATCCCAAAGATTTTCTCCTATGTTTTTTTCTTAAATGTTTATAGTTTCACATTTTATATTTAAGTCCATGATCCATTTTGAGTTAATTATTCTATAAGATGTGAGACTTAGGCCAGTGTTCATTCTTCCGGGGGGAGGAGGGGAGGAGTTGATTGATATTCCATTGCTCCAGCATAATCTGTTGAAGAAGATATCTATCCTCCATTGATTGGCTTAAGTCAGTTGGAGTATATCTGGGTGGGTCTATTTCTGTGTTTTCTATCCTGTTCCACTGATCTATGTGTTTATCCCTCTATCCATACCACACAGTCTAAACAATAAGTCTTGAAACCGGGTAGACTTATTCCTCTCACTTTATTCTTCTTTTTCAAAACTATTATCGTCTTGAGGCACTCTTTAAACCTAGAACTGAGCCCATTCCCTGAGATCACCTTTAAGTGAAATAGCAGAGTGGCACACAAAATAAAAGAATATTAGCTTTGGTGCTCTATTTAAAAACCATCAGTATGGGATCAAAAGGTCAATAATTACTCAAAAGCAAAGACAAGAAAATAAGGGGCCAGCGAAACGAGAGTACTGGAAATGGAACAAACAGAACAAAATTAAAGAGAATACTGATACATTATGATAAATTTTATTAATGTCACTGAACAATTTGTGTGGAAATTGTCAAATGGGAACCTAACTTACTGTATGAACTTTCACCAAAAACTCAATAAAATATTAAAAAAAAGAAAAAACAAAGGGAAAGGGAATGACTCAGTCCCACATCACCAGTATGGTTACTTTCACAAGGGACAGGCATTTTACAACAAACTGGGATAGTCCTTTGTTTGGTCTTGATACAAGGCAGCTTTTACAGTCGCAGCAAGAAAAAAAAGTATTCCTTAGACTCAAAATCCACAAAGCTGAATTCAGTTCAGTCGACCTACTAATAATATTCATCCTCTGAAAGACTAAAGAATAAGAACCTTGGAAAGCTGTGACAGGGTGGCATGGCACAGCTTGATGGAAGCCCTACTTAAGAGACCTGCAATCACATGAGCTGATCTCAATTGTTCTGCTCATAACAAACTGCCTTACATTTTCCTCCAGCAGAGACCTAAAATCCCACTTTCTCTACTAAAACTTTCCAAACAAAAACCTCATAAACCACATGCTTAAAATAAACATATATTCATTCCTAAATTAAAAAAACCCAAAACTATTTTAGCTACTCTAGCTCCTTTGCCTTTCCACATAAATTTTAGAGTAATCTTGTCTATATCTGCAAAAATTCTTGCTGGAATTTTGGTAGGAACTGCATTCAAACTGTACATCAATTTGGGGAGAACTGACATCTTTACTATGTTGAGTCTTCCAATCTAGGAATGTATGTCTCTCCATTTCTTTAAAAATCTTCTTTGATTTCTTTCTTCTGTGTTGTGTAGTTTTCAGCATACAAACCCTATAAATTTTTTTTTTAGTTACACCTAAGTATTAATTACCTTTCACTTTTATTCTGATTTTTTAAAATTCAAGCATAATTGACATTAAATGAACAACTTTAGAATATACAATTAATTGGCATTTAGTACGTTCACAATTGTGCAACCATCACTTCTAACTAGTTATTTTCATAACTCCAAAAAGGAAACCCCATACCCATTAAGCAGTTACTCTCCACTCCCACTAACCCCCAGTCCCTGGGAACCAATAATATGCTTTCTGTCTCTATGGACTTATCTATTCTGGATGTTTTATATAAACGAATCATAGAATATATGTGAACTTTCGTGTCCAGCTTTTTCATTCAGCATAATGTTTTTGAGGTTTATCCATGCTGTCGCATGTGAATTGGAATTGACTTGACGGCAACTGTTGATAGTGGTAATAGTGTGTATTTATATATATATATATATATTTTTGGTGTGGCTGAATAATATACTGCATATTGCATGGATATACTGCACTTTGTTTATCCATTCATGTGTTGATAAGACACATGGGTTCTGTCAACTTTTTTGCTACTGCAAATAATGCTGCTATGAACATACATGTACAGGTTTCGGTTTGAATATCTGTTTTCAATTCTTCTGAAATTCCTAGGAATGGAATTGCTGGGCCACATGGTAATTCTGTTAAACTTTCTGAAGAACTGTCAAGCTGT